TTAAACAGTTAAATATTGAAACATTTTCCCAACATCTTTATCAATATTAATAACATTACTAATTATTATTATGTAAATTAAAAATTATGTACAGCGGTATTAAATTGTAAGTACAATTTTATAATGAAATTATTATTATACAGTAACTATTATTATAATTAACTTTTACATATAATATATGATCTAAAATATATGTACATAACGTTTAAATAAACTACCCTACATAACTCGCAAACAACGAAACGAACTATTTTATCCACTTCATAAATTATCAATACTAAAAGCACTCTGTTTATCACAAGCCTAACATCTATTTCCGGTTGGCGAAAAATATTTTACTCGGTCATATTTGTTATCTAGCTCGCCTAACAGATCGTCCCATTTTGTTTTCGCGTTAACGTGCCCGTGCCGCGGCAGCTGGCTCCCGTAAACAAATTAAATTAGATTAAAATTAAACATTCGTCCACCCCCTATCGTAAATTCTGTAAAAGGGGAGGGTAGGAGGAATGGATACCGGCGTATCCAACGCAAACTGCGCTTGTGTTAGGGGTCGAGAGTGCGCCCGCGCGCGGGGGTGGGCCGTGCACAGTCGTGTAAACCTAATTGCCATTTGCATAAATTCGATTAGACGCAGATCCCGGGTTATTAGCAGTCATGAAAGTAAAACGTTGCAAAATAGGGCGCATGAATAATAAACTTCCCGGGGGGAGATCCGGGATACAACATCGGACGCCGTAAACGCTGGGGATGAAACGTTCGAAAGAACGACGGCCCAGGGAGACCGTGTCCTCGTGGACGTCACACGAAGTTAGGCGAATCTGACCGTCGGAGGACCTTCGAAGTTTCTGCCGATATTTTCGACTTTTTCGAGCAGGTCTGTGACGATGACGGAAGGCTATGAAATTGATTTTTTAAAGGGAATCTTTTTGCGTTTGGAACAAAAAGCATGTTTCTGATAATGTTGTATTTGAAATACAGTTCAAAGCAAAATATAGCTGTAGTTAAAAAAGTGTTTCGTTTGCGATGACGACTATTTATAAATATATATAACATTTGCAATAATTTATAAATATTTATATATAACGTTTGAAAATGTTATATATGAATTATGTTTTAT